TAAAGTCCACTCAAAAAAGATAAGTGAAGCAGAAAAGGCCCTGGCTTTCATCTGCCCCTGCGTATAAGGGTCTCGATGGTTGAGTTAATTAGTGAGGTTGACTAGTTTATCTAGATTTTTTTTCCTGCTAACACATGTTCATTCTGTCTTAATACAAAACAGATGCAAAATTGTAATATATAATAGAAATTCACTATTTTAGCCAATTTTTGTGTGTGTGTTTTAATGCTCGGAGTATAAGATTGTTAGCTTAGCAACATAATGCTACATTCACACCATTACTTAATTACTAAACGACAACCAAGGAATGCTACTCACAGCTGTTCACATCCTTAGAATTATGTATTTCTATGGCAACGCTATTAACAGGAAAATGTATCTTTTAATTTGAGTAATCAGTAGACAAAACCACAATATCAGTAAATATCTCATTTTATAAATGCATTGCCTTATTAATATAGTTAAATTAAATACTTTATTTACTTGGACATTAGATATTATTTCAACCATTTACTAGCTGAATTAAACTGCATTTTGTTATTTGTTTAGGTTATTATTATTTCAACATTATTACCAAGTCAATTATACAAATTATTAAACAGATACATAATGAAATAAATGCTTAACGCCATTATAATGCATTTTAATTACAAAATGTACAAGTTGTAATCTTATAAATACAGTAAGACGTGAAGTGAACACTCCTAAACTTCCAGGTGCTTTGGGTAAAAATAGATACTTGAGGAAACAAGTGCGATTAAGGACAGATGACTATTCAACTAGTCATTCACGCAACTCACAGGCTAACCCATTTTGAAAATACATAGTTTTGCACATCCCTAACCTATATGAAAGCAATGTGAAGAAAAATAAGACTAAGAGCCACAGGAATGAGTACAGGCGGAAAAATGAAAATCAACAAACCTAAAAAATCTACGGGTTTCCCAGCAAATAATGCCTGCTTTCAAGCGGACTCTTTCATGTCAGAGAGAATAGGCCTAGTTGGAACGGGTTGATGAAATGAAAGGACAAAAGCAAATACAAGAGCGAGAGAGAGCGGGAGAGAGTTGGAGGGAAAAGCACAGCACATTTTCCATTTTCCTCTGCAAGTAAAAAAGCACATGAATTATGGATGCGAGCAAGCCAACAGTGCGAGAATTTGATCCCTGACCAGGCAGCTCTTGGCTCCCCGTGGAGCAGCCTGTCACCCTCCCCCCCACTGGCTTTTTCAACGTTGCTACCATCCATTCCTAACTTCCTTCTCGGAGAGAGAGCGGCAACTCTCGGCTTGCAGACTACTGCCTGGGGACAGGACAAGCACATCTAGCAGACTCGAAGACACTACCTCTGCCTTCCTTCACACATTCTATTGTTAGCATCTTGATCCTAGTTTAAACTGAGCTGACATTTTCACCTGTTGGTTTAAATGTGAATGTTCCCACATAGATGCTCATGATGGCTCCATCATGAGGGGTTTACAGCTCTGATAAGGAGACAAAAGGATTATTTGAGAGCAAAATAAGTACCTTCAGCCATTTACAGAGCACAAAAATCATGGCTATAACTACAAGTTATAAGAAAGTCATGGTCAGATTTATAATGAAATGTCATATCTTACAGAAAACAACAGGCAACTAAAATACAGATTGGACCTTCTGGGTGATTTTCCCTATTGTTTGTCTTTTTACTAAACAAATCATGCTGTAACTCAAACTATCAGTGTATTTATTCATATTTTAAGAGTTATACTGATAGCCCTAAGATACAGATAGAGGCTCTGTTCCAAACCTAGTGAGCTGCTTTGCTGTCTATTGCCTTCTAAGGCAGCATCCTAACTGAAATGGATCAGATGCTGCCTTCAAGTACATGCGAGAAGCTCATACCTCATTCGTTATTAAGACAGGTCACAAATTCAAGTCAAAAACATAACATGGAAACAATCTAATCGAACCAAAAGTATTATATTTTAAACAGAAAAATAATGACATCATAATTCAAAATTAAAGTTCTGAATTCAATAGCACTTATACATTCAGTAATACTTATACATGGCACTGTATCACAACTAAATGTGTTACATTAAGCAAACCGTGAAAGCAGTGTGATTAACTTTACACCATTCACAGACTTGCTTTCTGATAACCGAGCTCTATAAATAGATTCTAAATATTATATTATCAATATTACAGATCAATGTTTACCCCACGTTTTAAATTGACATGTCCTTCCCAACGCCACAACTCAGCAACTCGTTGATCATTCTAGAATTCATCTACTTTCTCACTTGTAAATAAGATTTTGCTTGATTATTCATGTGCTCGGAACCCATAATTATGTTTTTAATTCCACTTGAAAGGCACAATAGCAACTAAACATGTTGCTAAGCATGTTGCTAAGCTAACAACACGACAGCACAAATACATAGCAACAATTATAGGGTAAAAGAGACTATTTTGTATCAAAAATTACATATATAACTATATTTATGATCAACATTTGTCTTTTTTTTGTTTCGACAATCATGGATTCGTGTGCGGAGCATGTGCATTGTAGCATAGGCTTATCTGTACATTATGCGAATTTAGTGAATTCAACTGCCTTTTAGGCCTTTAAGAACAGAGAAGCAGAACAAAACATCTTACAGTTAATAAATTTAAAATTAAACCAGTACTCAGTGACTCATAGAGCAACTCAGTCATTGGGAACTGAAGGAACGTTTTATAGATATTGGTTAGGACTACAACCAGGCATTGCAGCATTCCACACCACAAACAGAACGCACCACGCCAGCCCCCCTTATAAAACTAACTCTGAAACAGCAATGAAAAAGCATTGCATAAACTCTAAACTATGGAACAGCCAAATGACAATAGAACACTAAAAACTAAAAACAGGTGCATTGTGGGTGCTACACTACTGCATTTGAATTAATTAAACAAAACACAAACAAACCACAAAAACACCCCCCCAAAAAAGCACTAAGGATTAGCTTTCATATACAGTAATAAAGGAGGTTTTGCTTCATTTACAAAGAAAAGAACAGCTTTGTTGACTCGCCTATTCAGACTGTAGAAAAATCCATACAATTCACTTGATGTCAACTGGACACAAGTAGGCTGATGACCAGCACTCAGTATTATATGTGCATGAAAGTGCATTACAAATAAGGCCATTAACTAATTTATAAGAGTGTGTGCATGTGTGACTGTGTTTAACGTGCATCCAGGGTATGACAGATTGAAGGAGGTGGCTGTCGTGAGCAGATAAGGTAGGTCTATTTACACAGTAATCAAGTAAACAGGTTTGGCTCCACTTTTATTGAGCACTGATTAAGCTCTTCATGAAGCAAAATGAAGCCTACGAGCAACATTGTTTAATTATATCTGACTCATCAAGGACATCAATGAGGCACTCAATGACTAGTATTCATCTTCAGCTCTCTGACCAGCACTCATTGGGTTCCTCAGTCGAATGAGAGGCATTAATAGGTTCATTTCAAAGGACGTGGAAGCTCTTTTATTATTCTGTTCTCCTACTTCAATAGCTGCCGAATGTAATTACTGAGTCGAAGCTAAAATGTCTAAAAAAAAAACACTTTCATAATTTCATTTCAAATGTGCCATCACTCCACCAGCAACAGAATTATTTCTTTCAAAACGTCGATACAGATTCTTTTGTGTCTTTCCTCTCTAGATTCAACCACGTTTAATTTTTATATGGAACCACAAATATCTTATCAACAGTACATTAAATGAGACTTCATTTTCCTTTGACTCATAATTTATAGTGTAAAATCACAGAAATGAATGTGCTTGGATGCACAGCCAGTGAAACTATCTAGCCGTGAGGCTTCACAGGGAAGAAAACAGATGCTTTCCTAATCATACAGTCCAGCAATTCCCTCAAAACATAGAACTTTAACAAGCATCTCAAAAGCAGACAGGCCCTTGTGCTTTGAAATGTGTCATTTAACTGATATTCTTACGTCAGAATGACAGCAAATATCAACTTCTTCGGCACACCTTCATATTTCTCTCTAAAACATATCCGATGTGCATAACACAAACAAAAACACATCAAGAAAAAAACTTCCCACACACCTTAGCACAACATCACAGACTGCACGCTGACAATACCCCAAATGCCCACAGCAAAGCAATTACAGGCTGTACAAGTCATGTTTCAGAACAAAGAAACATCAACAGGTTTGTTTGTGCTTTGAATTACATGGAAATAACTGCAACAAAAAGTCTGTTGTAATAGAGATTGACCGATAATTGGTTTGAACGATATATTAACCGATATCAAACCGATAGCAGTTCTTTTACATTGGGCATTATATGATCGTTCTCTAAATAAGACCAGCAACAATGGCATTTACAGGCAAAAATAACTTATTTAATACATTAATTTTTGGATAAATAAGCTGCAATTTTAACAGCATCCATTCTCAAGTAAAAATCTGTAGCTTAATAATTAGCATTAGCGCAGAACAATAATGAAAGTAAAAATGTTTACAATTTATCGGACACTTACTAAATATAAAAATAATTGTTATTGGTCAAATAAATGTCAATCTCTGCTACAAATGAATAACCCCATTCCACTACATACTCTTCGTTTCCATTATTAAGTTATAAAAGCTTAACACAAACTATACAAATAGACGACAAACCCATTTAAAGGGCATTTAAACATTTTGACAGGTCTCTCCTCGATCTTGTACTGACAAGAATTTGATGGTCTCAAGGAAACAGTGGTGTAAACATTACAACTTTGCGTCTACAAACAGGTACATACCCAGTTGTTCTTCGAACATGTCACGCAACACTCTAGTCCTCATGCATTGCTTCAGGCTGAATTCTGATCCTGCATCTGTCGGACTGCCACATTGCAACTGAAGTCAACGACAAACCAGTGTGCGTGTGTTTGTTTCCAGAGAAAGCAAACAGCTCTTCACTTCGCGCACGCAATACAGCACTCATTACGCATCCGCTTACCTTTTTAAATGGCCACTATGAGAGCGGTCGTGAAAATCCGAATCAACTGAACGCCACAGAAAGAACTTTGATGTCTCGTGAGCGCATCCTGCGCCGCTCGCGCTGCTCCGCCATCTTCAGCCCGAATGAGCGAGAGCAGCTGACGGGCGCGCGGGGAGGTTCTTCAAAAAAGCCCAAAGTTCTGAGCTCCTCCATCCATGCACTACACCCCTGTCGTGGTGTGCTACATACCAGCTGTTTTTACAGAATGACAAGGTGATTTTTAAATGAAACATTCTATCTGATGAATAATGTGTTTGGTGATACATTAAAAACAAATAAATAAATATTATTGTTAGTATTGTTAA